AGTAGCCCAGTTTCAAGGGATGTGTTGATTGTGGTTAATGGCACACACAGTATATCTGCTCCCTCCCTGAGGACCCACGGGGAGATGTCCGGTCCCATTGCCTTTGAGGTCTCAAGGTCACTTAGCAGCTTCTTCACCTCCTCCTCATTGGGGGCATATCATCCAGCACTTGTTGGTCTATTCCCTGTTGGTATCCCCCTCTGTCCTGTCTTCCCAGAGTCTTTCTGTCTCCACTGTGAATACTTCCTTAAATCTCATGTTGAGCTCCTCGCATACCTCTTGATAGTTTCTTGTGAGTTCCCCACCTTCTTTCCTCAGCCTGATCACCTGATCTTTGACTGTTGTCTTTCTCCTAATGTGGCTAAACAGCAGTGTGTGTGTGTGTGTGCGCGCGCGCGTGCGCGCGCGTGCTCACCTAATAGTACTCTCCTAATTCTGGTTGCAAGGGTCGATTCTTAGCTCCTGATGTGTGTCCGTGCGTACACACACACACACACACACACACACACACACACACACACACACACACACCACACACACACACACACACACACAGACGAGTACCTTTGACAACCAGCAACTAACACAATAGGCCAAGTAATGAGCAATTAAGTTTTTAATGTTTAACCTTTCTCTGTTATTTAATACCCATTAGTTCTTGTGTAATAAACATTGTCTTATATATTGAATATGCTATAATATTAAAATTAAAAATATATAGGAAATATATCGGAATCTGCCGGAAAGGGGGTATCATCCCATCCTTTATATATAGAGGTGCGTTGAGGTATCTGTGGAGGCAAAGAAGGGAATGTACTAGAGTATAATGGCACCAACACTCTTATATGGGTGTGAAGCTTGGGTTGTAAATGCTGCAGCGAGGAGGCGGTTGGAGGCAGTGGAGATGTCCTGTCTAAGGGCAATGTGTGGTGCAATTATGTAGAGAATTCGAAGTGTGGAAATTACGAGGAAGTGTGGAGTTACTAAAAGTATTACTCAGAGGGCAGAAGAGGAGTTGTTGAGGTGGTTTGGTCATTTCGAGAGAATGGAACAAAGTAGAATGACTTGAAGAGCGTATAAATCTGTAGGGGAAGATGCAGGGTAGGGGTCGTTCTTGAAAAAGTTGGAGGAAATGGGTAAAGGAGGTTTTGTGGGCAAGGGCTTGGACTTCCAGCAAGGGTGTGAGAGCATGTTAGATAGGAGTGAATGGAGACGAATGGTTTTGGGACCTGACGAGCTGTTGGAGTGTAAGCAGAGTAATATTTTGTGAAGGGATTCAGGGAAACCAGTTAGCCGGACTTGAGTCCTGGAAATGGGAAGTACAATGCCTGCACTTTAAAGGAGGGGTTTAGGATATTGGCAGTTTGGAGGGATATCTAAACTGTCGTATATGAGCACCTCTGCAAAAACGGTGATTATGTATGAATGATGGTGAAAAGTGTTGAATGATGATTTTTTTTTTCATTTTGGGTCACCCTGCCTCGGTGGGAAACGGCCGACGTGTTGAATATTATGTACGAGCATATATTTGGTAATACAGGTTTTTGTTTGTTGGCTAAAATTAACAAGGAAAATAATTTTAGAAAAGACAGTATAAATTGTTACAGGTGATTAAGGCGTTGAAGCCATTTGCAATAATCATACTTTTTTAAAGTAGTAGACTGGTAAGCCAGTGGAAGGCCTCGGTCATATGACCAAAAACTCCAGCAGCGGGTCATCATATGATTTAAGATCCTCACCAAGAAACACTTGTCTTGTTCCCTGACAAATTTCCTAACCTAAATTTAATGAGCTTAAATCCCAGAACGTGGAAGGTTACTAATGGTATAAACTTGGGTAATATATGACGACAAATTGTTTTAGAAAGACACATGAGCAAACACTAGGGCATATTAGAAAACGTTTCGGCTCTGGGACCAAGACCGGAACGTTTTCTAGATTACTGATGCTGGGAAAAAAAAGGCAAAATATTAAATACAGTCTCGACCTATGGGCAACCCTCAGACCAGACACATTACTGGAGACATAAATCAGTTGGAACCAAAGTGATGTACTCGTTCTTGCTCATAACACATGACTTTCAAGGTCCCTTGTACGACATCAGACCCACCATGGAGGCGATGCTTACCTGGACCATTATTTAAGCAACCATGTCCAGAAACTGGAGATACTCTATTGGATTCCGAATAGACGAAACAAAAAAAAGACCTAATTACTACTATGGAAACTAAAACGTTCTGTTTTGGAAGAGATGTAAACCAGGATCACATAATTACGGTGTTAAAACTAAGCAAAGAAATGGATAGAGAAAGCCCTTCCTGAGAGATAATAAACAAAGAGTTAAAGGTTAAAAATGTTAACGAGTCTAGCGGTGGTTAGGAAGTGAAATGATTCACGATGTTATTGTGTGACCGCTCGTGAGGAGTTGACAAACAAGAAATAATCGCCAAGATTTGATCTCAAATAGATGAGCACACACTTGCCCGAGTATTTCATAAATAAAAGAAAATTTGAGATTGGACACGAGATTGGGCTCGTATAGTGCTAAACTGATGCTGATGATAAATGAGAAGACAATGACAAGGGAAGACGCAAGACACACTGGAAGACCTTGACAGAATAAACTGGTAATTTGAGAGATGGGGACCGGCGATAGGGAAGCAAAAATTAAACACAAATGGGCCAAAGGGATTTTAAGAAGTACTTTCTCACCCTCGAGGTGCTCAGGAAAAATAATAACCTAGACGAGAAAATGATAAAAGCAAAAATTATAGTGCTATCATTAAGTATGACAGGGTAGCAATAAATTCAATAGCCTATCCCGGGGATTTTTTGGTTGCCCGAAACTGCTACTCGACTCCCAGGCTGCTAATTCGAGAGGTCTTTGATCTACCATCTTACTTGACTGGTACATAAAGTACTGATGTTTACTGATTCCAATTACCACTTGATTATCCACTTAGATATCCTAATATCCACCCCATATGGCCTCAAAGTCCCAGATTTAATAAACAAAATAGGTATATATTCTTTGAAATCTTCCTACTACGCTCCTGGATACGCCAGTTACCTAGTAAAACAAGTAGTAAACACAAAAGACCAGGCCAGGAGCTGGGTCACGACCGCAATCACAATTAGGTAATTACAGCAGAGTATAATTAGGTGAGTATAACTAAAGGATTACGCTTAAAATCTACTTAACTATTTTCTCTCACTTGTATGTGAAAGTTATTTGTTTCATCTGAGATCGTTGAACACCGTTCAATTATGCGTTGTGAAGGCAGACTTAATTATAATGTTTGGTATCGTCAGCTTGTAAGTGGGGAAAAAAAATAGCGCAAATGTTTTATCTCCTGAGAAAATTGTGCAAGGGTTGCGCAGTGCGCGCGACACACACACACACACACACACACACACACACACACACACACACACACACACACACACACACACACACACACACACACAAACGCAAACAGAAGTGCTGTACCACCTAGTAAGGAGCGCTCATAAACGACTACCAACACAACTTTACGAACCATAAATCCAGTTCCTGAAAAATACAGTACCAGAGTTTTACGAGGTGATGAGGCAGGTGAGAGGAGACGGGGTGGATTGTATATTTTTGGACTGTAAGAAGGCTTTTGGCGTAGAATAGCAGCGTGGAAGAGACTGGTACAAAAACTAGAGAAGCAGGCAGGAGTAACAGGAAAGATACTACAGTTGTTTTTCCTTGTTATCATCCCAGAAGAGGTGTAGGACGCGAGTGACTAGGGAGTTCCAGAGTTCAGTACCGGAACAGGTATTATTTCTTAACTGCGTGAATGACATGATGGAAGGGATAGTCGAAGGTATCCCTCTAAGCAGCTGTGTAATTAAAGACAATACGAATTAGGGAAGACAGTGAGAGGCTACAAATAGACCTGGACAGGCTGCAGGTCTGGTTTGGCAAGTGGCTACTGGAATTTAACCCCAGCAAGTGTAAGGTTTTATGATGTTTAGGGATGGGTAACTAAGACCGCAGAGGGAGTACAGGGTCGGGAGCACAAAGGCTGCAAATCCCGCCTGAGGCGCACGTCAGTCGAATAAATGCTGCAGCAAATGCGCTTCTGGTAAATCTTAGCCTAGCTTTTTAGAAATCTAAGCAAGGAAGCATTCACGACATTTAATGGCACGAGTCAGGCTCATATTGAAATATTCTAAATCATTATGGAACCCAGACCTTGTCAAGCATATCAAGAAATTGAATGAAGTGAAGTAATTTTAAACGAGACTAGTCCCGTAAAGAAGCTTAACCTGATGACTTGAGAGAATAGGACGACCAGGGGTCATATAACAACGTAGAAAATACTTAGAGGAATTGGTAGGGTAGACAGGAACAGATTGTTGGAGAGATGAAAACAGGAACACGAGGGCACAGCTGGAAGTTGAAAACACACGCAAGTCACAAGGTTGTTAGGAAGTATTTCTTTAATTATATTGTTAGGAAGTGGAATGACCTAGATATTAAGAGTAGATGAGGCTGGATCCATATATGGCATTAAGTACCATAAGCTCTCGAAGCCAGGAGAGTGAAACCAGCAACGGCCAGCACTGAGGCGGGGCCAGGAGCTAAGAATCAACCCGTGCAACCACATGTGGGTATATATAGGCAAGTACACTCTCACACGCATGTGATAAATATCGCAGTGTCTGTTCGGTAGTTATGTCAGTAAAACCTGTCATCTTATCTTCTAGGTCAACACTGTCGAAAATATGATGATCTGGGTCAATCTGTATATACATAAACATATGTAGCAAATATATGAATGGTGTCCTCTAGTAAAGGAATTTTTCATTGTTAAACAATGAAAAGAGATCAGGTTTGTGTAAGATCTCGTCTGAGACCATACACAAACCTGATCTGTTTTCCATGCGTCCTTCACCTTTCTGATAGTGATGGCCTGGCCGGGTATATAAGAGTCGACTCCCTTGTTATGCGCCACTCACTCTGAGCTGTCTCCGACACCAAGATGATCCCGGTAAGATATCTCTAACTTTAATACCAGTCTTGTATCTTCTCATGGTACAGAAGTGATATAATTTTTTAGAATACTGGAGTATATTTGTGCAACGCTTTACAAATCATATCAGTAAAGTTTTGTATTTTTTCTCGGTTAAAAGTCAACGTAAATAAAACTGTTGCCATAATACGACTTTTACGTTTTAGAACACTTCGGAAAATAATATATTTTTTTGTTTTGCAGAAAGTGATTTTGTTCACCTTGTTGGCTGTTGTGGGAGCCGATAGGCTTCCGTCTACTTCTTATGGTGCACCCGCCAGGGGAAGTGGGGGCTTCGGGGGATCCAGAGGCGGCGTTGGTGCAGGTTTCGGAGGGCCCGCTGGTGCAGGTTTCGGAAGGCCCGCTGGTACAGGTTTTGGAGGGCCCGCTGGTGCAGGTTTTGGAGGGCCCGCTGGTGCAGGTTTCGGAGGGCCAGCTGGTGCAGGTTTCGGGGGAGCTGGCAGTGGAAGTTCTCTTAGCGGAAGCTACAGACCTTCAGGTCCCGTAGTCCCCATCTTAAGAGACGACCGTCAGGGACCTGATGAGTATGGAAACTATAATTTTAACTTTGAAACTGGTGATGGCATCAGTCGTCAGGAGCAAGGCGCCCCTCAGGGTCCAGCTGGCGCTGTGGCAGCTCAAGGGAGGATGGACGTGAGTAATCTTTAACAGTTTGTAGCAGAATATGTATACAAGGTATTTTCTCTGGAATTACATTATATTTACTTATAATAATAATGAATCTAATTGTGGTATTGTTTCAGATTTACTTTCCCCGATGGAACTCCCGCTGTTTTCAAGTTCGTAGCAGATGAAGGTGGTTACCGCGTGGAGTCTGACCTGGTGCCCACGCCCCATCCTCTTCCCGCCCACGCTATCGCCCAGATCGAGAAGGCTCGTCAGGAAGACGCTGCTGCAGCTGCTGCAGGTGGACGAGGATCATACGGCGCTGCTTCAGGCTCTGTTTCTCAGTTTGCTGGAGCACCTGCTGGTGACTTCGGTGGTTCACCTGCTGGTGGTTTCGGTGGTTCACCTGCTGGTGGCTTCGGTGGTTCACCTGCTGGTGGCTTCGGTGGTTCACCTGCTGGTGGCTTCGGTGGTTCACCTGCTGGTGGCTTCGGTGGTTCACCTGCTGGTGGCTTCGGTGGTTCACCTGCTGGTGGCTTCGGAACTTCACGCCGTGGAAGCGCTCCTGCGGCTCTCAGAAGAACTTATGGCGCCCCATAAGCATCACTCTATATTGTACCAGTGACCCCATAATTCTTCTTTCATATTAGAAATTATCTCGCTTGAAATCTCGTTGAACAGTGTTGCTGATGACGTTCGTGGACTCCTTAGTCCTAGTAATACAAAGTCATGGAAGCTTCATACTACCACACATGGTCTGATGTTTGACACTGCGTGGACAATACGCTTATTACTTTTACTGTTACGTATTTAATAAAATGATTTTAAACTTTTTATATGTAATATAAATTCCAAAAAAAAACTAAATTAAGATTTCGAGAAAGACTGCATTCCTAAAATAAACAAACGTTCATTTAAGTCATTCCTTTTAGGTGGATAATCTGTTATCGACAGATTCTTTTATCATATGTATATATTTTTTCAACGTAAGTGGTCATGGGAAACTCCACCACGGACATTTTGTTTATAGATTTTCGAGCGGCAGTATATTCCGAGAATATCCTTGTCTAATTACTTCATAAATCTGGCACCAGATCTATAAACTGAGTGGTAACTGGGGCTTGTGTTGTCATCTGACTGATGACTGGTAACTGTGTGACAAGAGTCAGGAGACAAGACAGTTGTAACCTGACTGGTGAGTGATGACTGTGTGGAAAGGTGGGGGTCATCTTGGAGATGTATACCTGGAGTATACCTGGAGAGAGCTCCGGGGGTCAACGCCCCCGCGACCCGGTCTGTGACCAGGCATCATGGTGGATTAGGGCCTAATCAACCAGGCTGTTACTGCTGGCCGCACGCAATCCAACATACGAACCACAGCCCGGCCGGTCAGGTACTGACTTTAGGTGCCTGCCCAGTGCCTGCTTGAAAACACCCAGGGGTCTATTGGTAATCCCCTTCATGTATGCTGGGAGGCATTTGAACACTTATTGTGTTGTCTCTTATCGTGCTAGTGACACCCTGCTTTTCATTGGGGGGATGTTGCATCGTCTGCCGAATCTCTTGCTTTCGTAGCGAGTGATTTTCGTGAGCAAGTTTGGTACTAACCCCTCTAGGATTTTCCCGGTGTATATAATCATGTATCTCTCCCTCAGGCGTCCTAGGGAGTACAGGTTGAGGAACTTCAAGCGTTACCAGTAATTGAGGTGTTTTATCTCCGTTATGCGTGCCGTGAAGGTTCTCTGTACATTTTCTAGGTCAGCAATTTCACCTGCCTTGAAAGGTGCTGTTAGTGTGCAGCAATATTCCAGCGTAGATAGAACAAGCGACCTGTTCATGACATGAAATTGACATGGGAAACCAGCAGTCAATTATTATAAAGGGAAACCAGCCAAGACATCAATTTATAAGTCGTAGAACCAGTGAGAATCAAAGAAATATGAAACGAAACCCGTAATGACAATGAATATGAGACGTAAACCCGTATAAACCAGAATATAATCAACTTTTAAGTTCCATTCGGATAATGAAATTCATTTTTCTAGACAGATGTATGTACAACTCTTATATTTGAGTGAGATCCCTGACTTCATTCTCCAGTGGCAGACTTAGTATTTCGCTCTATTGTGTCGTGAGAATTTGTTACTCCGATGAAGTTTTAATTTCCTCACGTTTATAATCGGAGTAATTGAATTGCCATCATTGCCTCGTAAAGTTTTCTGCAGCCCTTTAAGATTATTTCGCTTGAATCTATGTGTCTTCAAATGTACACTTCATCAAATTCGGGTGTCATTCCTAAAGGAAGACAGTGCTGTGACTGACACCTTGTCTATTGTCATATGGATTGAAAACTGACAGTGGACGAGTACTTCCATTGGGAACAGAGCTTTCACTGTAGGCCCTCAGTTTTCTCTGTTGACTACTCCTTGTTCTATTAGGAAATTTGCTCCGATCTTAACTTTCTGTATTCCTTATCACGCATTTATGCACTATTACACCATGGTCACACTTGTCAAAGGCTTTTGCAAAGTCTGTGTATATTACATCTGCATTCTGTTTATTTTCTACATCATCCAGGACCTTGTAGTGGTCCAGTAGTTGGGTCAGACAGGGGCGACCTACTCTAAACCCATGTTGCCCTGGATTGTGTAACTGATGGGTATCTAGACGAGTGGCGATCTTGCTTCTTAGAACCTTTTCAAAGTTTTTATGATAAGGGGCGTTAGCGTTATCGGTCTGTAGCTCTTTGCTATTGCTTTACTGCCCCCTTTGTGGAGTGGGGCTATGTCTCGGGTGTATAGAACAGTTAATAACACTCGAGATGTTATCCGCATGAAAAGGAAATACCCACCTTGTTGGACGAAGCAGAAACCATGTTAGCGTTTGTGCCAACGTGTCACTCAGGTCCTGCAACACTGTGTATCATCTAGCAACATCAAGAAATGCCATTTTATTATGCACGGAAAGACTAAAAAGTTTAAATTCATCAGCGAGGCCTGCTCCTGGACCTGGCCTCGGGGCGTTGATCCCCGGAACACCCTCCAGGTAACTGAATGAGATCTCAGGCTCCTACGGGTCTCAACTATACATTCTGCAACAATGATGTTGCATCACTTCTCAATTGAAAAAAGTAATTTTATGAATGGTTCTCCAAATATGTAATTATACATAATTCTTGCTGAAGTACACAATAATTAAAAAGTAATCGAAGGGTATTAATTATAACAGGAGTAAATAAGCGAAAGCTAATATTCCATATGAACATAAATATTCTTTAATGGAAATTAATAATTACAATTAGGTATCTAACATTAATTGAAGAGTTATTACTGCATCTGCTGTGAGTCTTAGACTTCCTCTCCTTGAAGCTGAGTGCCAAATTATACAAAAAGATGAATACAACGTAATTTTTGCAATGATTCTTACTATTAAACTTCAGAAGCACTTAACATGTAAGAGCAATGTTGTTCCCCATTAGTTCTCGGTAAAATTAGTCCAGAACAGTGAGAATTTGTACTGTAATACTGATGAAAACTGAGATCCCTTCATTGCTGCTCTTACATCAAGTCTAAATGTCTCTTATTTTCATAGGTTCTGTATGGCCCCCGAGGGGTTAAGACCCCTAAAGAATGTAATAATGTGTGGTCCCTATGAGGGTTTACTCTATGATAACACAAATAACGATGTATTCACCTAGTTGTGGTTGCAGGGGTCGATTCACAGCTCCTGGCGGCTACTCGTCACTCTTCCCGGTGTTCCAGTCACTGCGAGATCCCAGGAAGGGAATTCCCGTGTTCCATAACATTAAGTCCTCTGTGCCTCAATGCCCGTGATTAGAATAGTGCAGTGTGTGGCACAAGGTGAAAATGTAGTTAATTATTGGCAATGATGATTTTAAGGGAATCAGAAGAGGTATTCACAAATCATGTGAAATAATATCCAAATTTCTCCAATAAAAATGTTAGAATATAAGTAGTACAAACCAAATTCCAACTTTAGAGAGAGATCAATATCCTAAAATACACAAGCACATTAAGTTTGAAGTCGTTCTGAAGCTGCATTATCAAGTTTTGAGCCTGGAAAGTTGAAACTAATCGGATGCAACACACAAACAACACATGAAAAGTAGCATTTTATTTTTTCCCAATTTCTTAAAAAATATTAACTCAGAAACTACACTGGCCAAAATCAACCCAGACTTTTCCCTAAGTAAGAAGGGCCAGCTTCTAAGAAAGTAAATTTTCTGCAGTCTTAGAGGTGGAAAGAGAAGCAGGAAGAGTGAGACTAGAGAAACCAAACTACAGAAGGGGGATTACACAGGCATGAGGAATTTCCTGTTTGAGGTTCAGTGGGGAAAGAATTGGTGGGAAAATCAGTAAACCAAACGATGTAAAAAAAACATCAATTTTTTTTTAAATGGTCTTGAGGGAAGACATGATATAGGCATATAATAGACATGTTGATCTAGGATAACCCTTGCACAACGTAGCGTCAATAAAATGTGTTCTTTGAGAAAAATGTACCAACGCAAGAAGTTAAAATCAGGCCAGAAAATGCATTTGCCAGTTATTGCACAGAGTCGAACAAAATTTGTGCCTCCACAGTATAAACCAGTGAAACGCTTCCATCCATTTCATTCGATGCATCAACCATTGAGGATTGATGCCGTTCACAATTATATTTTAATCAGTGAAGAGCGCTAAACCCTTAGTCATACAATGCCAGTGGAATGCGAGACGTTCAGACTTAATCCAATTAAGGGGAACACTAACCGAATTCCCTGGATTTAAAAGCCTCTTACCAGCACCAAGATAAACTGAAAATAAATAGTATAAAATACCGACACACTGGAAACATAAACACACATGCAGTTTAATGTGATCCTTTATTGACAACGTTTCACCCACACAGTGGGCTTTTTCAAGTCACAGATCTGTGCGTGACTTGAAAAAGCCCACTGTGTGGGCGAAACGTTGTCAATAAAGGATCACATTAAACTGCATATGTGTTTGTTTCCACTAAGATAAACTAATGCAGTTATGCAAAATAATAAACATTAAGGATACAAACGGCTATACAGCATCTACTATCTTAACTTGGGTCGTAGCGACGATAATCTGACATCGTAGTTGAGATGTAGGAAGCAGTGGACTTGTGTTGAAATATCCCATAAATATACCAAATTTCTGAAGTAGGTTAGTTAGTTAGTTTAATATGTTTATTATGCACCCCATACCCATCCTGTGGGCGGTAGTCAAAAGATTACAGAGGTACATAATGGGTCCAGGGACTGGGCCTCAAAGTTTTGATAGCTGAGCAAGTTACAGAGGTAATGAACTCACAATTTACAAAGGTAATGAACTCACAATTTACAAAGGTAATGAACTCCAGGTAGGTCTAGTCACAATCATGACAAGTTACAAAGGTGACGGAAATATAAATTCTGAAGGCGATTATAGGAGATTGTCTCCAGTTATCCGAGGGAAAACCAGGTTTTGAATGGCCGGTGTAGCGTTGTCTATAGGACATCAACGCATGTTTACCTGGAGAGGGTTTCGGGGGTCAGTGCCCCCGCGGCTCGGTCTGAGACCAGGCCTCGTGGTGGTTCAGGGTCTGATCAACCAGGCTGTTACTGCCGGCCGCAAGTAAATTGACGTACGAGCCACAGCCATGAATCATGCTTAAGATATGTTACACCAGCGTTGAAAATTTGAAGGCGATCGAATGAGGCGTTCTCAATTATAAGAAAAAACTGAGAGTAAACAAAAATATTTTTGCGAATGTTACGAAAATCGTTAATCGTCGTTAAACTTAAAAAAAATCATGAAAACATAAATTTGGAACTTTTTCCAAATTTTCTTCTCGTCTGCATTTTTTTTTTTTAAATTCTATAAAATTCTGTAAGAAATAATGCTTGATTTTTATTTTTTTGACTTCAATTTGATAAAACTTTCACTCCCACAGCCCCCCCCCAAAAAAAATGCAAAAAATTTCCTATTACAATGCACCAGCATTTAGTGTGAAGCCAATTAGAAGAGACATTCTATTTATGACATCGGAACCAATTTGACAAAAAAATGGTCTGATTCCAACGATTCCAAGTTCTTTTAATATTTTACTACACAAACAAATCTGCCATCACGCAAACAAAACATATTAAGTACTATGTTGGCACTAAGATGTGTATCTCGTTAATTGAAGCTGATTAGAAGAGGTAAACTAAAATATATATAACGTGCTATAAGGATACTAAAAATTGTGCACAGTTTTAATTATAATGGTCAAGTGTGCACCA